TGACTGGGGTAATCGCGATGGGTGTGTCAGAGGCCATGCGATTGGCCCAGGATAGAGCAAGGTTTAGGGCTGTTGTACATAGGGTTGCTATGAGTCTCAAACGACTCGATGGCACATAACAACAACAGGTGTAGGGTTTCCTCCTTTGTTCAAATAGATTGTTCTTAAAAAATAAACAAAAAGCCAACAATTTTATGCTTACGGGAGTTCTTTTAACTATTAAAGTAAAATTAGTGTTTGCTTTTGAAAAGATTTCAGGTGATATTTGTGGCTTAAGGTTTAAAGATTTTCCCAGGAAATCATAACAAGGGTTCATTTACCCTCAGTGGCTCCTGGAATGCTATATTCTTTGACAGTTTGAAATTCTAGCCTGCCTTTTCCTTTGAATCTATGGTCTTTGAACAAAATGTTCAGTAATGGTAGGTGGGTATAATACCGATCCTCTCTTCTCATGGCAAAGAAGAAAGTTGTTTGTAGAGCTAGTTAGCCACTCATTCCATATTGTCCTCTTATTCCTGCCTCTCCTTCTTCTGGTTTTAGGAAAAAATTTTAGTACTTTGTAAGGCATCATTAATTATTTTACTATAATAAAATTTGATAATCATTGATATTATTTCTGGACTTTAATATCATTATTTGTAACCTGAATTGCTTTGTCAAATTAGCCAGATGCTCTGAAGGAAAAAGATGGGCAGTCCTCTCTCATGTGATGTACAGCCTCTGAAAACCTGCTGGAGAGTCAGTTATGAGTTGGTTGCTACTTGATGACAATGAGTTCCGAGATCCCACATTTATAAAAGTATTTATAAAAATATTTTTATCTTATTCAAGTATAATATTTAATAAATGCTTTTAATATCTAAGAATCTTACAGGAATAATAAGTAGATTCAGGCTTTCTTGTATCAATTATAAGAATATTATATATATTTAATATTATGCAGTGATTCTTGTAGTTGTTTTCATTTCAAAATCCTGACTCTGTCCTGGTTTTTTTTTATTCTTTCTTTTTTTCTTTCCTTCTCCTTAGATTCAATCAATCTTTAAGGACAAATGTACGTTTTAGCTCATGGAAGAAAAAACACAGATCAAGACATTTTTGGGTTCAAAGTTGCCGAAGTATGGAACAAAATCTGTAAGAAGTACGCTGCAACCAATGCCAAATACGGCATTCACTAATGTAGTAGGAGTTTCCAAGAGGAGCAATGTAAAAAATAATGCCTCAAAAAGTTCATTATTCCATTCATTTAATTGGGGAGAAGCAAGTAAATACCAACTTCAAGAACAAAGTGCTGGAAAGCTTAACAACACTCACAATTTCCATGATAAATTAATTGATACTGAAAAAGATGATGATCCTACCAAAGGAATGTTTGATACAAGTAGAATAAAAGGAGATTTAAAAAGTGTTTCTGAACTCATGTCAAAAATAACAAAGCCATCAACTATGTTTGTGTCATCTACAGGGGAGTTAAGCCAGAAGTCTTTATCTAGACCATCAAATTTGGGTAAATTCACCAAAACTACATTATTAGGAAGGACTTCATACTCTTCAGTCAGTGCTCCAAAATCTCATTTGAATGGATTTTATGGAAATCGATCAGCTGGTAATATGCAAAGGCCTCGAGCAAACTCCTGTGCTACCAGAAGTAGTTCTGGAGAAAGCTTAGCACAATCCTCAGAAAATAGTAAATCTATTACTTGTGAAAAAATGGTAAGGTCACAAAGTTTTTCACATTCCACTCAGAATTCATTTCTTCCACCTTCATCTATAACTAGATCCCATTCCTTCAATAGAGCGGTAGATCTTACTAAGCCCTATCAGAAACAACAGCTCCACATTAGAGTGCCTCTAAGGTCAAGTATACTAGCAAGAAATTCCCAACAGGCAGAAGTATTCAATGGAAATGAACATTTAGGGTATGGCTTTAGTAGGCCTTATCCTGCTGGTGGTAAGAAGTTGACTTTACAGAATGGTCCCAGTGTAACTTCTACTTTGGGATATAGGATGGTTCATCCTTCTTTACTGAAATTGAGTACACCTTCATTTGATGCAAGTACCACAGTTGATGGTAATAAAAATGCACCTGTTGACAAATGTATAGAGGAACATGCTACAGTTTTGGTTCATGATCGAACTACTGAAAAGGACCAAGAACTAATTGAAAATGATGGTTTTAGAACAGAAAATGACCAGAGTATAAAGAACAGTGCTAAAATTCGATATCTAAGTGATGATGTGGATGATATTTCTTTGTCTTCTTTATCATCTTCTGATAAGAATGATTTAAGTGAAGACTTTAGTGATGATTTTATAGATATTGAAGACTCTAATAGAACTCAGATAACTCCAGAGGAAATATCTCTCAAAGAAGGAAAGCATGACAATGAACCAGAGGATATATTTCATTCTTTCAAGGAAAATGAAAAATCCTTCATTAAAACTGATGAATGGATAGATATAAGTGTATCTGGTAAATATAAATATTTTAAAGTTTGTTTTCTTTTAAGTCTTTTTATAAAGGAACTTAATTTAACATTTTCTTCTGATAAATGTTAAGGTATTATCAATTTTACTGTCTTTGTTGAAGGACTATTAGGAGGGATAGATTTAAATAAAATTGAACTTAGGCAACATTTATCTTCTTTCCTCAGTGACTTTTGTAACCTGTACTCTTCCCCCCCCCCCAGTTAAAACAACAGTAGCAATACTCGTACTCTTTCTCTAAGATGTCCTTTCTCCCCTCTTCTTGATTTTTATGTGCAGGCTTATTCATTGTCATTGTTAGGTGCCATTATTTGAACCTTGTCCTGTCCTGCACCATTCTCATGATTTCTGATATACTTAAGACTATTGTTTTAGTTACTTTGTAAGTATTTTGTGAGGGTCTTCCTCTCTTTCTCTGACCTTCCACCATTCCCAGCATGATTCCTTTTTCTAACGAATGGCCCTTCCTGATAACATGCCCATAGTATATGACATGAAGTTTCACCACCTTTCTACTCTTTGACAGCAGTGCTTTAACATTAATTTTCCCTCCCCGCCACCACTACATACCATAAACTATCTCTTATTTTGGGATAGAAGGTCATTGCTATATATTAAGAGCAAACCTATAAGAAAGTACACGAGATTCTAAAGATTATTTCCAAGCTAATGATTTTTTTTATTCTAGGAAGTTTTTATTTTTTAAAGGAATACACAGATTTCTTATTTAGTAATCTTTATAATTACAGACAGAGAAAGGGAATTTTCAAATTAAAAGCAAATATCTTGGGAAATACTAGTATGAAGATTTATATATCTAGAGGAAGATTTATATATCTAGAGATGTTTTATAATTAAATGATTAATTGAATTGTCCTTTTGTTAAAATAGTGTAAAATATTTTAGTAGGTTAGTTTTAAGATTTTACTTCTTTGATTTTTTAAAATATTACAGTTTAGGAAATGCTATACGTATTTTTTTGCCATTCTTTTGATTTGCTATAGTCAAATTCTTAGAACTTGCAATTTTAGAACCTGAAAATAATGGTATTTTTATTAATAATAACTACTCTCTCTTTTCTTAAAATCAGTTGAAGACAGGAGTGAATGTACCAAACATGCTTCTGAGAATAACTTGATTTCACCAGATACTGATTACAGAGCTGGTTCTTCCTTTGAACTCTCTCCATCTGATAGCTCTGATGGAACATACTTGTGGGATGAAGAAGGCTTGGAGCCAATTGGAAATGTGCATCCAGTTGGGAGCTATGAGTCCTCTGAGATGAACAGCATAGTATGTATACATTTATATGCCCTTTGAGAATTTTTAACTCCATAATTTACTTATGCAAGTGATTAAATTATGTTTTTTAAATTTATGATTTAACTCTTAATCTGAGAAATGGTAATTCCCTTTTATGTTGATGATGTCAGTGACTCTGAGCAACCCTGTGTATAAGAGAATGACAGTTTATTCAGTATTGAATCATCCTTATGGATGCTGTTACTGTAGTTGCATTGTCATTGCATCTCATTTAAAGTCGCCATCTTTTCCACTGACCCTTATAAAGCCTGACGCCACGCTCTAGGGATTAGTCTTTTCTGATAGCAGGTCCAAAATAAGCAAGGTGAAGTCTCACCATTGTCACTTCTAAGAGGCATTCTGGCCAAACTTCCTCCACAACATACTTGTTAATTATTATCATAATCTGTGGTGAAGTGAGTTCTTTTATGTAGACTTTTGTTTTGGTTCTTTAGAGAAACTGCTTAAAAGATCTCTACCCTCCTCACCTTCTGCTTCTCTGTCCCTGAGTTACAGTTTCCCAAGTTTTCTACTTCAGAGAATTTGTTACTTTTGTGCAGGTTGACTGACATTTCCTGAGTTAGTTTTAAACAGTTTATAGTTTTATAGTTTTCCTCCAGTCCTGGCCTGTAGCATATTCTTTGATTGTTCTTTTTTGTGCACCTTGCAGGGACTGGTCAATACGGTTTGGCAAATGAAATGACAATAGGCAACTAAAGCCTACTCTCTGGCCAAGTGAGAGAAGATTGATCACCTCATAGCCCTAAGTGAGAGGGCCATGCCTTAAAACTGACCAAGATTTAGCTTATTCATGTAGCCAGTCTCCCAGAGGTTGGCAGAATAAAAGAAGAAAGAAAGAAGCAGAAAGTTGAGAAGAGAGAGAAGGGATGAAAGGAACTTCTTGCAAGAGCCATAAAACAGATCACAGCCTGAAACATTGAAGACTTGTTACTGAGCTGATGGTAACAGGCCCAGAAGAGGCTTTGTAAGAGTCAGGGGAACCAGTCCTAGAAGGGCCCTATAGTAGAATTGATAGTGACAGCAAAAACCTGCTGCTTAGTGATGTAATTAAAAGAGAGTTGAATGAACCTGTGAGACTGGCTGTGAGCTGATCAGTGAGCAGTGGACAGACAACTTATTCTCTGCTGCTTCAAAGAGGTCTGTCCTCGGGGGGCCAATAGGAGTCTGTCCACAGAGAATCCAGAGGAGGCCAGTCTTGAGGCTACTGAGAGAGGCATACATGTCTAAGAGGGGCATGCATGACTGAGAGCTGACCTGTACAGAGGAGGCCTCTACTGAGGATACTGAAGTGGGCATGCATGACTGAGAATAGTCCTGAAAGTATGAGAGGAGCAGGCATGACTGAGAGCTGTCCTGCACAGAAGCTGGAGGTATATGCTTATCACTTTGAGTAGCCTTCCAGACACAGTTTATGGATTCCTGATCCCAAATAATCTGGTCTGGTGGTGTAATCTGTAAGGAGTTTTATTGCTAAGTTGAAGATAATGTCTCTGGTGGTTCAAATCCACCAGCACCTCTGAGGGATAAAAATGGACCATCTTCTGTGTGATTTATAGGCTTAAAATTCTGTTAGGTCAGCTGTGAGTCAGTTATGTCCAACTTGAAGGCAATAACTTTGAGAGTTTGAGTATATGATAAAGGAGCACTAGGGGTACAACAGCATAATTCATATACATTATTTCCTGATTCATCATGCTCAAGACCAGTCACATGGTCCACTATGTTTGGTATGACAGATTGAAGAGGAATGTCATCATATACACTGTCAAAAAACATTTTGAGATTAATCCTACAGTGCTGTCAGAGATGGGATCGTATTTATGGACCTGTAAAGAAGACCAGCTTGTAGAACTCTTATTCAAATTTATGCACCAACCATTAATGTCAAATTTGAAGAAACTGAAATATTTGCCAACTTCTGCAGTCTTAAAATCATCAAACAATGGTGACTGAATGCAAATGTTAGAAATAAAGAAAGATGGGTAAAAAGAAATATGGCCTTGGAGGAAGAAATACTGTTATAGATTACATAATAGAAATTTGTGAGGCCAGTGACTTATTTATTGCAAAATATTTTTTCAACGTGGTAAATGGAGACTACATCTGGAGCCTTCTGGGAGCAATACACATAGAATGGACTATATCTGTGGAAAGAGATGATGGAAGGGCTCAGTATCAGCAGTCAAGAACAGGGCCCAACTGTAGTATAGACCATCAGTTGTCCATTTGCAAGTCAAGATGAAGCTGAAGAAAATAAAACAGGTCTGAAAGAGATAATGTGCAATTTTCTGTACCTGTCATCTGAGGATTTGAACAGTCTCATCAATAGGTATGACACACTGAATCTAAAGAAGGAAGATGAGAGAAGTGGGATGATGTAAAGGCAAGAAAAGATCGTTAAGAAGAAAGGAAAGACCAAATTGGATGTCAGAAGATACTTGAAACTTTCTCTTTTTTTTTTTTTTGGCGTCCCTGGGTGGGCTTGAACCAGAAACTTTCTCTTGAACATTCAGTAGTTGCTCAAACAAATGGAAAAAATGGTAAAGTAAAAAAATTGAACTGGGAGGAAAACATAGGGTTGCACAGTTTGGTGGATGGAGGCAGTGAGGGTAAAAAAATGGGAAAGATTCGGTAGGGATCTGGAAACACAAGATGATTGTGGTCATAGTTCAGTGGTGATTTCTTTAAATGGGAATGAGTGTATGAAACACAATGTAAATGAAGGTTAGTGTGAAACACAATGTATAGCAACTTTCTAAATCAATATAAAGATTAAAAAAATAATAAAACCCTGTTGAACTGCAGATTTCATGAAGACAAAGTATAATAATTAAATGTGCAAAGATGTGGAATTAAAAAGCCAAAAGAGCATACATATTTCAGCTGAAGAAACAAAAGTCTAGAGTTGAATTGCAAAATAGTGAGGTATTGTGTGGGGGAAATGCTGAATGATATGGAAATCAGGACCAAAACAAAGTAGTTGTTGTTCCCTCATTTCAGGAGCTAGCATGTAAACAAAAACTCATAGTACTAAGGACAAATTCCAAAGCTGCAGTAAAGGGACAGGTAAAAAACACAGCTCCAGGAATTGATGGAATACAAACTGAGATGTTTTTGCAATTGAAACAAAGCTGGATGCTCTTATTTGTCTCTGTAAACAATTTGAGGGGTAGTCACTTGATTGGAAACAAACCATATTAATACCTATTCCAAAGAAGAATGATAGAATATAGAAATTATCCAGCAATATGATTAATGCCGCAGATAGTAAACTTTTTAAAAAGATTATTAAAAAGATACTAAAGAAGACTTGATTCCTTTGGATTATGGTGTTGGAGAAGAGTATTGACTATACCATAGAGTGTCAGAAGAATGAATGAAGAAGTATAGCCAGAATACTCCTTAGATGTAAGGATGTTGAAATTTGTCTTTTGTACCTGAAGGTGTTATCAGGAGGAACTGGTCCCTGGGGAAGGAGATCATGTTTAGTGGAGGGTCAATAAAAAGAGGAAGACCCTCAGTGAGAGGAGTTGACACATTGCCTGTGACTGGCCTCAAACATGGCAATGATTATGATGTCGCAGCACTGGACACTGTTTCATTCTGTTGTACTTAGGATCACTAGGAGTTGGAACTTCCTGCACAGCACCCAATAAGAACAGCAGTGGTATGGTGGTTACGAATTTGGCTGCTGATTGAAAGGTTGGTGTTTGGAACATGTAAGCTATTCTATGGGAAAAAGACATGGTGATCTGTTCCCATAGCTGTTGCAGCCCAGGGTTTCCCCAAAGAACCCCTTTACTTTGTTGTTTATGTTCACTGTCCAATTTATTTAACTTAGTGGCTCTTGATAACATGTTGTTAGGAGGGACTATTACTTGGAAAGGGGCATCATGTGTAGAAAGGAAGAGAGAAAGACCCTCAACCAGGTGGATTAGCACAGTGACTGCAGCCATAGGCACAAGTGTGTCAGAGATAGGACAGGGTTCAAATCTGTTGTTCACCGGGTCACTGAGGGTCGTACTCCACTTGATAATATCTAAAAATAGCAGACAATGTGTGAATCAGGAAGAATGTCACATTTATCCCATAACTGTTCTCAGATGCACTCAAATATGGGATTTTGTGCAGCTAATATATGTGATACATTTTCAGTAAACTCTGGAGCCCTCTTATGGGCTACATGTAGCCTTCCATGTGCTTTATATGTATGTGGTATTTATATACGTTGAGGAATTCTATTGGCCTGCAGAGTAAAGCCTTATACTGCCAAACTAAAGGCAAATGGTTTGACTCCACCAGCTGCTCTATAGGAGAAAAATGAGCAGTCACCTCCCATGTAATTTACAACCTCTGAAAACATACTGAAGTGTCAGCTACTGAAGGGTCAGCTATGGGTTGGTTCCTCCAGTGACCCTCCAGTGGATTTTCAGAAGCAGTTAATTGCATTGGAGGAACTTTCCCATCCTTCTGTGGATCATCTGGTGAGTTCGAACCGTGTGCCTTTGGGATTACAGTGCAGCTTCTTGCCACTAGGCTACCAGAGCTCTCTGTTGTTGTTGTTGTTATGTGCCATCGAGTTGCTTGCGACTCATAGCAACCCTATGTACAAGAGCCCCAAATGCCCTTCTATCCTGTACCAACCTCGCCATCTCAAACACACTCATTCCCACCACTCTACTCACAGAATCGATCCATCTCGTCGAGGGCCTTCCTCTCCTGTGCTGTCTGTCTACTTTCCCAAACATGATGTCCCTCTCCAAGGACCAGTCCCTCCTTAGTGGTTCTGAAAGTATAGGTATGGGAGGGTAACATCTGGAGACATTTTTGGTTGTCACTTTTGGGAGGTACTGCCAGCATCTGATGGATAATGCTTGCTGTGGTTTGCCTACATAGTGCATTCCAGGTATAAAACTCTATTGATTTTTTTCCTCCGTCTGAATAATTACAGAATTCTTAGTGAATGGACT